CAATAAACAATTTGATGTTTAAATAACCGCCACCTTCTCTTCTTGTCCTTCCACTTATTCCTTGCCCTCCAAGTAGAAATGTGACTTCAAGGGTAACTAGAAGTCAGGTTATTTCTTTGCCAACAGCCCTCTGTTTCCTGCTCTTCTCACTCACCAACACCCATCACCATCATCACCAACCCAGCCTTTCATCCGGTCCAAGTTGCTTCTTGTTGCCCTTGGTTACTTTTACTCACCCGGACTCCCTGCACCCCTTTTGTACCATGCACAAAGAACCCCAATTCTTCTTAGCAGTCATTGTCCCTTCGTGTTAAAACACTACTTAGATTTAGCTCTGGTTTTGTTTTGTTTTATTTTCCTTTCTTTTCTGTGCTTTTTGGTTATTGGAATTTTTTGTTGGTTAAAAAGATTGAAAATATATTTTATTGTACACAGTAAATATTAATCATACTTCACATACATGTGCACATATATATAAATACTTATTACATAAGATATATTACTCATACAAATGCACATAAACACCCTACTCCTTTGGAAATGAGGTAGGTGAGGTAGGTGATAAACTAGAATTCTCACAAAATTGGATCATAATAATAATTAAAATATCGATCACTTGATCACCACCACAGAGGAAACAGTAAGAAATCACCACGAGACTTCTCACAATGAACTCTATGTGGGTTAGAGTAATTTGTACATAAAATTTTAATGCTACCTCACTTTGTGCCCATGAGAGGTGCCATTTCTTATGTGACTGAGATAAGGAATGGAGGCAGATGGCAGGGGCAGACCCATGAGGAGGTTGCCTAGCTCCAGAACCATACTCTGCAGCCAGGGTCAAAGCTTTAATATCTCTACACTATCCCACTGAGTCTGGAAGTGTGGGGGAGGTGATGGGCACCTGTTCTCTTCAAGTCTGTCAGCAGGGTGCTTAGAGGAAGCATGGACCACACCTCAGCTTGCTTGAGTCATCTGAACCACTAAAGTGTTTTTTTCTGGTGGCAATGACATCCTAGAAGCTAACTCAGGACCTATCCCATATTTTAAAGATTGAAAAGTTCCTCCTAAGGAGAAAACTAGAAAAAAAATACCCGAGATTGCTAAACTATACTCTGACCCATCTTCTAGATGGCAGATACGTTTTCCTTCCATTTGGGAATTAAACCTGGGGTCTTGTACACAGTGGGCAAGCATCTGGTCTATACCCCAGCCCAAGAAGAATTTAAGCAAAGGAACAATGTTATTCATTATAAATTAATACAATTTGAAGAATTTTGTAAGTTATTTTATAGATGGTTAAAAAAATACTGTAAGACGTACTGGGGATTGGAGAGAAGATTCAGTGGTTGAGAGTGACCCCTGCTCTCATCGATGACCTGAGTTTGGTTCCAGCACCCATGTTTGGAAGCTCCAAGGTTCCTCTTGCCTTCTTCTGGACTCCATGCGTACCCCTCCCACATATATGTACATACCCTCACACAGACACACACCCCTTGCACACACATATGTGCATGCCTCCTTGCATACACATACGTACATAACCTCACATAGGCATTGCCCCCCCAACATATGTACATACCATCACACAGCCATAACTCCCCCATGTACATACCCTCACACAGACATTACCTCCACACACACATACGTAAATACCCTCACAGAGACATTACCCCAACACACACACACATACTTACATACCTTCACACAGGCATTACCCCCCCCCAACACACATAAGTATGTACCCTCACCCAGACATCACCCCCCACATACATATGTACATATCCTCACATAGACATTGTCCCCCACATACAAACATACATACCCTCACACAGACATTAACACACACACACACACAAACACACCCTCACACAGACATTACCCACTCACACACATATGTACATACCCCTACATTACTCCTCCTACATACAGACATACACTTAGACACATAAATAATTTTTTAAACTTAAAAAATGTATTGAGAAAATACTTAGGCTTGTTCTGGTGGCACATGCCTGTAAACCTAGCACTTGGCAACCTGAGGCAAGAGGATTAGGAATTCTTGACTAGCCTGACTACATGGCAAGTCTGAGGATAGCCTGGGCTACATGGTAAAGCTGTATGTCAAAATACAATCAAAAAAGAAAGAAAGAAACCAGAAAAGATGGTTCCAAGTCAACAGACTCCACCATTACACACTCCCTGAGGAGTGGCAGGTGTTACACGACATTTAACAGTACTACATCCGGACGTGGTTGAGATGGCTCAGTGGTTAGGGTGTTTGCCGCACAAGCTTACAGACCTGTTAAGATCCCTGACACCTGTGTAAAAACAGCCAGACATGGAATAATCCCAGTACTCATGACGATAGGGACAGACAGATCCCTGAAGCTCAAACATGCATGTAAACATACTAAGTTTCATGTCTAAACATGTATGGTTTCTCATTCCCAAGATCAGTCTCTCCATATACTTGTATGTGGATATATATGTATGTGTGTGAAAATGCTCTAAAATCCCAAACCATCTGACAGTACAAATAGTTCTTTCCTCATGCATGCTGGTTAAAAAAAAAAAGTTCAATCTCTATTTCTCAAAGGATCTAGGTCCAAGGCCAGGTTTCCTTACCCTAATCCTTTGTGGGTTGACAATGAAGCAAAACACAGTGAATGACATATGACTAAAAGAGTGAAATATAAAAGAATGTAAACACTCATTTGAGAACCATTTGTCTTGGGCTGAAGAGACGGCTCAGCAGTTGAGAGTATTTGTTACTGTGCCAGAGGACCCAGGCACCCACATGGTGACTCAAAGTTGTTTAGAACTACAGTTCTAGGGCACCTCACACGTTTTGCTGACCCCATGGGCACTGGACATGTGTGTAGTTCATGCAAAACACCCACACATATACAATAAAATATTTTTTTAAGAATCATTTGTCTTAAAACAAAATTCGCTAGAAGCTCGCATTGGCTTTCTTTTTGACTCGGGGGGCATTCCGTTTGTCTCCTGTCTTTTGACAATGCTTCTGCTTGACCAGGCTCAGATGCCTGGTGGGCAGTGGAAGCCCCATAGTTCCTGTTTATTTCCCTCACAGTCTGGAGGCATCTACAGTGGCTTCATGGATGTGGTTGTCCCTCTCTTTAACAAGATCCTGAGAGCAAATAGAGCTTTTCTGTATGATGTCTTCCATTGCTCCAGGTCTGTGAAATTCATCAATGAAGTGTCTCCATCACCTCTTGGTTCTCCTATGTCTCTGCTCAATTGAAATTCAGTATGTGTACAACCTGTTCCAAGACAGCTTAAAAGTTTGGGAATCTAGCATATAAGTAGCTTCCTTCTACCAATAAATCTTGTCTGGTATAAGACTGTTTTATTCTGTAGCTATTAAACATATCAAAACTTTACAATTCAAGCCTTTTTTATACCAAATGCAAAAACAAATGTGAAAAATTAGTGGATCTTGACCAATAGAATTTTAACTTGACACACGGTAAAAACTAAATTAAAAAGTCATAAACTAAAAATATGCTTATGAAATAGTATACAAAGGTTAAAAACCTGAATATTACAAATCACTGAATAAAGTGAATAATATCAGTAAGTAGAAGAAGACAATCTTATCTCCTTAGTTTTAAAAAACACATGTAAAAAATATCAAAGTTAATATCAAACACCAACATATGCTCTTCCCTATAATACATCCTTATACATATAAATACATAAGAAATTCTTAGAAAGTATGAAAGAATTTGCCTAGAAATCTGACGCTTTCACTTTTCAGGAGAAATAATTAAAAATACAGATAAGATATGCATAACATTGTTATAAATGTCCAATAACAAACAGGGAGTAGCTAAATACAGTACCCCTGAATACCATACAGCCACTACAATGATGTTTTAGAAAACAACTTATTTGTGTAAAAAGATGTTTAAAATATTTTCCTTACTTAAAATAGGCACATGACCAAACGATATTGTGCAACATAATTGCCTGTGGTGCATGTACACAGAAAAGAATGGTAAGAATTGTATGGACTATATGATTAAAATTATTTTTGTGCTTCTCCATATTTTCTAATTTATCCTCAACAGATAATGGAATAACCACATAATAATGATAAAAAGTAAAAATCATAAAAAGAGTTCCTTCAGACGAGAAGCAGGACTGAGGAGTCAATGTAACTGTTTGGCATTTAGAAAACCAAAAATAGTTTGTGAAGTTGATGTTTGGTTAAAAAAAAGTCTCATAAAAATGTTCAATTATGTGAAACATATTCTCCAGAACTTTACAGATGCATTTGCCTGGTAACAATCTGCTCATTACAAGTGGCATCTCCATAGTCTGGAAAAGGCTCTGATGCCCCCAACTCTGAGCTGTAAATTACATCTATGCTGTGTTTTGTCTGCAGCTTCCAACAGAGACCTACTGGTCCTTGGAAGCATTATCTTGGGGCTCCAAGGGAGGGGGCAGCTACAATGGGCTCTGTGTAAATTTGATTTGGTCTTTGGTAGATCATTGAGACAATACACATCACATACTCTACTTGTAGAGCAGAGTGCACTGTCGCCCAACACCACCCATCACCAAAATGAAGAAATGGAACATCCCTTTTAGGAAAGTTAGTTGGTTACACCATATCCAGGGGGTCCTGCACACCACACCACAGCCTCTTATGTGGCTGACTTCATTTACTCTTCATTCTCTTTTTCTAACTGGTAGCATACAACAAAAACAGAAACTTCAGCATTAAAAATAAAACTAGAGTATTTGAAATAACACCCTTATAGATCATTCCATCGAATTCCTTCACATAAACAGGGGAATCCTGATAGAGAGGGCAGCAGGGGAAGGATCTAATTTGAAATGTGGTGTTGTCCTGCCTCTGGCCCAGTCCGCTTCCCTCATCAACTTGCAGCTAAGAGAACATCACATTTGCTTTAGAAGTGAACAGCCAGCAGTTGAAGGGAAGCAGCCAAGTGAGGCTGTTTACAGACCTTGCATCTGGTAGCTGTATGGTGCCTGTCCAGGTTGAGGGGTAGCGAAGCTGGTGCCATAGCTGAGAAATCCCGTCTGTCCAGGTGACTGAGACTGTGACAATCCACCTTCCGTCTTGATGCCTGCCCACAATGCACCTAAATCAGTTAGTGAGAGCTGATCTACCTGTTCATTCTCAGAAGCTGGTAAATATAGACAAGCACCGCCCCCCCCCCACACACACAGCTGCCCAGTCCCAAATGCTCCCCAACTCATCTGCAGGAAGACAGGGTGTGAATGCTTACAGGTGAGTGCTATAAACCACAAGTTCAATTTTCCTTCTAAAAAGTCTAAAGTTGAACATTTATTCACATGATTCTCTCTGACTTTCCTGCATTCAACTTTCTAGGAAGTAGAATTCTAGAGGTATCATTTCCATAACTCATTTTGTTATTTTACTAGAGTAGGTCATTCTGTCATAGTCAGAAATAACCCTAATAAAAGACAAGACAAACTGTTCCCAAGTCACTAAGTCTCCTTTTCCCTGAGACCTGATTGCTCAGAGTCTCTAGGATTTCTATCTTTCCCCCCCAACTTTGAGGCTAATGCACAGGTCATTTTGAAGTTAAAGGAAGCAACACAGGATACAAACAAGTGGGGAACCTTCTCCAGAGGATCTAGATCTTTCTGGAAAGGCATAATTAAGGAAGCAGAATGTTAAAGAATTGGACTTCTAAAACTACGGAGTGATCTATACATGTGAGGAAGTGGGCAGTGGTATCCTGTTTATCATTACTAGTTTTCAAATATTCAAGTGTGATTCTTCTACATGCAGGCTAAAGTACATTTGAAATTATATTATCTGTAAATACAAGCTAATGTCTTATAGGATTACAGAAAGATTATTTGTAGTCCTCAAATACTTCTCAAAGCACCAGGCTGGTTCACTAATTCCAGACTGGGACTTGGCAACACTGACGTAGGCCACTGCACTTAATTGTAATTAAAGGCAGTCGTAAAAATGAACAACTGACCTTCATCCCCACAGAGGGAAGACAGAAACATTCCTGCCAAGAGAATTCACATTTTTCAATAATCTTGGTTTTCACTGAAGATAAATTATATCTTTTAAGATCTAGGATACACAGTAGTCTTGCTGTTTATTTCCATTTTAGGGGAATTTCATGGGTAGAATGAAGTTAGGTAATTATCCCAAGGCAGTGGAAGAATCTGATTTGGCTGAGAAATCCCACTTTAATTTCTTGAGTATTTCTGAGTACTTCACAATGACCTTAACATTGAAAATTTAGTACAATCTTAACATGTCAAAACAAATATGATATGCTATGCACAGGTAATTTTGCCAATGAACAACTCAAACTTGGAAATTATCCCTAGAAACACACCTGCCCTAGACAGGTGGCTGGACAGTTCTAGAAACTCCCTTTATTCCCATGTGTCATCAGTAGGGACTTTCCCCCTTCTCTCTCCACTCAAGGGCATCGTGACCCTCCCCACCATCCCTCACTGGACCACGTTAGAGGCTCAGCATGGGAACTGCCGTGGTGGAAACAGATCTGGGGAAGCAAGAAGAGGTGGAGAACACTGAGAGCCACACCTTCCTCCAAAACCTCTCCCCACAGGCAGAGAACTCATTTTCCTAGAAACCTGCGAGCAGATGAGTGAGGGGTCTAATCTAAGCTGTAACCAATTTTTGATTTTTTTTTGTCCTCTCTGCTATTCTGACTATGAGAATCTATGCCCATTTTTTTCTTTTTTCCCCTATTTTCACAGTTCTATGTAGAAATTTTGGGGCCACAGGCCCTTGAAGAAAGTGTCATTTAGTTCTGATGGTTTTGAAATAAAACTCCAGAACCTGGAGATAAATGTAAGTTGGACCTTATTTCCATAAATAAACTAATAGAGAGCCAAATTCCCTGAGGTCCAGAGGCAGCAGTAAATGGAAGAAAGTTGTCTAGCTTCTCTGAGTGGTGAAAAACTTCAACAGGACCACAATTCTTTTAGTGTTTGCTGGAAGTATACAACCAACACAATTAATGTAACAGCTGCCAGGATGATCTCACCTACAGAAGGACCCAGTCTAGTCTTTTTCTACAAACACTCACATGCTTTTTTCTTGATCATTCTGTGTTTTTTTTCCCTTAATAAAATGCCCAGTTTAGTAGTCTTCTATTCGATTTAATTGGTTGAAAAATTGCAATTACAACTCAACTGAATAAAAAGTAGTTTGAGATTTGTAGTCTTCTGTAAATAGAACTTTGGGATTTGGCTGGATTTCTTTTTAATTTACAGGTATTGACCCCATCACAATTGAGTTAAGTTACACCAAGATAAAGATAATCTCCAGGTGAGAAGGAACAAATAGCATGCGAGCTTTGAATGCTTCCTGATCCGCGTCTTCAAAGTGCGGTCCGGGAGGCGATATATAGATCACTTTTCCTAATGGGTGATAATGCTGAAATTCGATCATGGAACCACCCCTAGGTTTAGGGCAAGAGTTTGCTGAATTCTGCATGTACTTCCCTAATCATAGCTAGGCATCTGATAAACAGGAAATGGATCTTTACCCCAAAAGACTTCATTCATAGAAGTTTTATCACAAATATGCACAAAAATACTTTGGATTCCAGAGTCAAGTGCTCTGATGCCAAATTCAGATATAAGCAGGGAGAAAGGAGAGCAAGAGGACTAAGACCCCGGCAATCTGTGCATCACCTCTGACCTCAAGGTAAGAGTTCACTGTCCTTACAAAGCTCACTAGCAAGAATTATACAGAATTGCAAGCAAGAGGCGAACAACAATTTTGGAAGCGGACCAACAGCAACACTCTTGAAGCGCTACTCAAACCCACAACACAGCCCACCAGAATACACCGTAAGAATAACGCTCCAATGACTCACCATAGGAGGAAATTCCATAGGGCTGTCCCGGCTGTGGGTACGTGGCGTAGGCTGTGGCTTGTTGCATTCCTGTGGTAAACTGTGTTTGCCCATATGCAGCCATAGTTTGTGAGGAAGGGGTAGGGAGAATATGTGGGTATGGTCTGCTAGTTGTCAGGAATGACAGAAAATAGAAAGCCCATGCATTAGATGGAAACATGCAAGGTCAAAATGAACAACTACATCACAAATTCCAGCTAAAGAGTCTATCTTACAGTCAAACTCGCCACTAGCATTGACAAAGCACTTCAGAGTACGTCAGTGCTACCAGGTGGTGATTAAAATACATTTGCATATATATGTATTTAATTAAGCTCTACAAAATTTACTTTTTGCTTAAATTAAGACATAATGTGGGCACAGACATGACTTGGAACAAGGTAAAGTCTACTTAGAAAAGTCATGTATTGAATAAGAGAAAATACATCTTACTTGGAAGGATAAATCTGTGGTGGAGAGAATGAGTGAGCTGGTCTTGGACTAAAGCTGCTGCTCCCGAGAGCTGAGGAAAAAGAAAACACAGTGATGCTAGGAACTCAAGGAGAATACTGAACATGAGAAAAACACTGGCGTGTCACAAACTATGCCATCACCATAGGAGACGGCGGGTATTTGACCTTTGTGATCTACAGACAGTGATTTTATATGGTCTTCCTAAGAGGAAGTCAAAGGGGGCTCGAGAGGTGGTTCACCAGATAAGAGCACAGACCTTCCAGAGGACCTGGGTTTGATCTTTTGCACCCACCCACATATTGACTAACAATCATCTGTAACCTCAGTTTCTAGGGGAGCTGATGCCTCATTATGACCTCCTCAGGCAATGTACACACGTGGTGTACAGACATGTGCAGACAACACACCACACCCACACACATAAAATAAAATAAACCTTTAAAACACAGGGAACGCATAGGCACCGATTGAGTGGTTCTAATTTTAAATAGACTCTTAAAAAAATAGACACATCCATAAATACTTATAAACGCAGCCTTAAATACTTGTCAAAGAGCTTTGATAGTGAGGAGTGCTGTCCTCCTTGGGAAAGCCAGGCTGAAACAGAGGTAGGAAGCTGAATGATCCTCTGGCCCATTGTCTATATACATCAGGAACCTGAACTAACAAGGAACACGGTCTAATCTCTTCTGTGAGGGAAATGGGAGCGATTCACGTTGGCCTGTGTCGCTTTAACAATGTTGTTTAGTGAAACTGCATTCCTACAATGATCTTTAATGTCTCAGGTTGCAAACCGAGCCTGTTTGTTCTTGGGCTGCTCTGTGTGTTCCTGTTCTCTTAGATGCATGTGTTCAACTGGAATGCTCAAGCAAACGATGTTTTGTTTTTGTTTTTGTTTTTCTTTAAAGAAGCAGTTTAGCAATCAAGCAAAACTTAATTTCTTTTAATCAGATTTTCTTGACTCGGGATGTTTCAGAAATCCACCAGGCTTCTATCAAATGCTCTTGGACTCTCACTCAAATTTAAAAAAGCAAAAACCCATTTTCAATAGTATAAGGGTTTAAAACGTTGGCTTCTGTTAAAAGTAGGACAATTTACCTATAAATAACATGATATATATTTATTTGTGAATACATATTTTCCCTCAAACTTCCCAATCTTCCCCTGGCTACAATGCATGGTGTTTGGGTTACATTATAGAATGTAATGTGGTTATTTTCTTCCTCCATTAACCCTCAGCATCTTCAGAGGCCCTGTTACATATTAGCCGTATTTCTCTCTCACTCTTAGGTAAAGTCCCATGCACTCAGAGAGCCATGTGTTTTCTCATTTGTGGAGTAATGCATTTATACTTGTCACACTTCATTTCCCAGTGGGTAGTTAGGAGAAGAGTGGGAGATTTTGATTAGACTCTCAGAAGAGACGGGCTGTCTTTCTCCATTCAAATCAATGAGAGCTAATCCAGGGACTACAAAGAGATCTGGGGCCATTCTAGCCTTTCACACTGCCAGATTTCCACCACCAGTGTCACCTTAGGAGGGGTAGAATCCACAGGAAAGAGATGGCAGGACAACCTGGTTCATGTCCCCCTAGCTTTGGGCACTTACTGCATATCTACTTGGTCCCAAGCCTCTTGCCCAATGCTGTGGGAACAATCACGGAAAGACAAGCCCTATCCTCCCTGCAGGGAGATTTGTTAAATGCTTCAGTTTCTAGAAGGGAGGTATTGCTGAGAACACACTTAGATTATGAGGGCTGCCTGACAGTTGTCCAGGCCACCTGTGGGGACAAGCCCTTCCACTCCCCTTCTCTAAGCATGAAAAGAGGCCAAGGACAAAGTAGACAATGTCTGCAGAAAGAATTATCTCCCCTGGATGATCGTAATTAAAAGCAACTGTTTGTAAAGCAAATGCCACCTGATGACAGAAGCCACGAGACAACCCCGCCCCCCTTCATTCTTTTCTAGCTTTAGATATGTTTTTCAACTCCTGGGTCACAATTCTTGAACAGATGATGATCTCAGTAAGTTGCACCCCACCATGTTTTTACAAAGAAAACAATGAGGAATATTGGGATCGTCTATTACACTGTAAGTCAGTGAAACTTGTGTTCAAAGTATACGCATTGTATGTGTGTCGACACAGGAAAGTGACAAGAACTGGGGACTCCAGGATGTGGAAAGTCAAGTCATGTGGTCTCGAGTCATTGACTCTCAGCTTCCACATAGTGTCTGCAACAATGCTTGCTTCTAGGCCTCATATGAGCCTTGTGAAGGCTAACTGAGATAACTCACAAGAAGTGGTTCGTATTGTGTTCTATAAATACATGATTTTCTCTGATTCTCACCAAGCTTGTCCCTAACCTTGGCCTTCTTTCTGTATTTATGTGTGTACACATGTGTACATGTTCATGTGTGTACAGGTGCATATATGTGTTCAGGTGTGTGTGTGTGGAGGCAAAGGCTAGAGGTTAACCTTGGGCATCCTTTCCCAGGCACTGACCACCTTGTTTTGTGAGACAGGGTCTCTGATTTGCTTGGAACTCACTGATGCGATTAGGCAGGCTGGCTGGCGAGTCCCAGGGGTCAACTTAACCCCATCTCTCCAAGATTAAGATTACAAGTACAGATTTTTTTACATGGATTATAGGATCCAACTCACCTCTTCATTCTTGCACACAGTACAAAATGAGCTCTCTCCCAGCTTCTGTTTATTCATTTGCTTGTTTGTTTTTCAATTCTACTCAATAAGCAACATCGCCCGCTATCCATGGAGGAAAATGCTTCGTGGTAGAATTTTTGACCCATGTTTTACACATGAGGTATTCAGGATACATAGAAATAACATCTTTAAAGACAGAGGAATGGGGAACCCAGGCACACTGGCCTTTGAATCTGTACACTATTATTCCACCAAAACATACATTCCTCTGACATCCTATATAGAAACTAGAAACCCCAGTCATCATCTCGGTTCCTCCTTCCATTCCCTCATCCCAAATCCTAGAGCAGCCTGCTGACCTGGCTCACCCTTACACTATCCCTCATCCGGGACTCCAGCCCTGCTTCAAGTCCTCCTCATGTCTCACTGAGATGACTGCAGCTGCCATGCTCCACCCTTTACCCTCCCTCCCCACTGCCACCAGAGATCTCGCCCCATCTCCACTTCCTATCCATCCTAAAGCTTACAGTCTTGTAGCCACTCACATGATTCAAGGAATGACGGCTGAGTTTTTTGGAAGAGGATATAGGAGACTGAGGCTTCCATAACCCCGTTTTCTGGCGCAATGCAACCTGCCTGCACTTCAGGACTCCTGTACACATCGTCCTTGCTACGTTTGTCTTGGATGTTCTTCAGGAGAGGCCTGCTGCCTTACCACACTCTCCTTCCCTCAGTTTGACAAGCCTCCCACCACAGAGACTAAATTGTCACTTTCTCTTCACTTTGTCTTCTTTCTCTGCACTTTTTTGGAACATTGCACATATCCACAAAGCCCCAATAGGCACACTGCATTCTGGTTAGCATGATTTCATGTGTAGCTATTACTTTTCTCAGCAAACTATGAACTTCAGGTGCTGGAGACTTCTCGGGCCTGTCTCCTCAGCACCTGATAGGATCTATGTAGCACATGGCACAAAGTCAATAAGTAATACTTCTACAGTAAGAATGAGATCATTGGCCTATGAAATAGCTTGGTAGCCAGACTGGGGGTGCCAAATCCAAGGACCTGAGTTCAATCCCTGGGAACCACATGACAGAAGGAGAATTACTCCAGCAAATTGTCTTCTGATCTTCATATGTACATTTGACACAAGTATGGCCACATAAATACATATGTACATATGAACCCCTACACACAAAATATAAAAAATAAAATGAAATTGCAGTCATAAGCAAGGTGGGTTTTAAACCTGAACTGAAGGGTGGATTTGATATTCTAGGCTATACACAATGAGCCTGACTTGGGATAGTTTTGTTATGTAAATTAGAGAAAAAGGTATGTATCCTCTATGAACTAGTAAAGAGCCATGAAGACTTGTGGTGGTATTCTAATTGTACTGAAACGTGATTTTGATTGTATGTTAAAAAATAAAGTTGCCTGGGGGTCAGAGCTATTAGAGCCATAGACAGAGTGTGGCGGTGGTGGCACACGCC